GAGGTTTTTCATTAACCCGTGAAGCACACTTTAGCGTATTTATCGCTATATTACACTTTGGCTCTTTTGTTTTTTATTTGTCTCTACGCGACTATTACGATCTATTGCACTCTAATTATTACATTTTGTTTCACGGGTTTAAGAAAACCACTCTATAGGAGTAGTCTATATAATTGTTAAAAACAGTCGCTTCTGTTCAGGGAGGCGCCATTGGTTGCTAAGACTCTGGTAATAAGGGGAAAAAAGTCATTTGGAGCAATGGAATTGGATAATATTAGAAATGGCCAACATTTGTTTTAGATTCAGTTAAAATTTGGAGAATCATGAAGGTGAAAATACGTTGKTTTTTTTTAAAAAAAAAAGTCTCTCGAAGTCCATATATTGGAGTACATTTTGGTGAGTATTTGAGAAAAAAACCCTCCTCCCTGTTATCAAATTTCTGAAAATTTAGGAATTTTAATTCTCAAATTTAACAGAAATCGAGCTCCGAATTGAAGGGATTTCCCTAGCGAACTTTCATTGTAATGTTTACAATATAAATCTTGTAGTTTTGAAAAACTGATATCTCCAATTTTAAAGGCAAATAATTCGCACTAAGAATTTTTAGGGTTTTTTCTCTTCTTTTCTTTCTTTCTTTCTTTTTTTTTTTTTTTTTTTTTTTTAATTGATGTTGCTTTGTACTATTTGTCAGATGATTTTGTATTTGAATTTAAGCAAGCGTCATTGTATACCTTCGCGCATAGTCCATATSACAATACCGCCCTTTTGAATCGGTAAGTAATGTTTTTAGGATATCAAATCTCTGTCTTCGTCAGAACAAAACACAACACTGAATGTACGTTACGTCACATGCAAGATATGTTTCTTCGTTTTCGCTTTTTATAGTAAATAAATAAAGTATTTTATACAAATAGAAGATCTATGTTTTAACCGCCGAACCACTTGCGTTTTACTCACGTTTTAGTACTAGTTATGTAACAATGTTCTAACATGTGTTATATCAGAAATGTAATATTAATTATATAAGCATCCATATCTGGGAAAGCGCCAATCAGGAGTCTGGGCGGGGCCCCATTATATACTCTGTTGTCTTTCCAATCGGTCCAGTTCCAACACAGCCACGAGAAACTGCCCGCCTCCTACCCTAGCCTTTTTTTGATTAGATTTGTTGTATTGAGTGGCGTTTTGTTAGCCCTCACCTTTACTGGTCAGTTAAGAGTTTTGCTTTGGATGAATTGTTAATATTTACAAGAATTGATACTTTAAAATTAAACACGGCCACTTTGGGATTTTCCCCGTAACCATTTAACTCCATCTCAAGTCTCAGGTGTCAACAACTGTTTATAGCGAAACTGACCAGCAAACAAGCTCGCTCAATACATGGCTCTGAATACAAAATCATTCTTTGATTTAGAGGCATTAAAACACTGATTCTCAGGCGACTGCACTTATTTTCTCTTTTTGAGATCTTATTTTTCAGTGTCACTTAAACTGGCTTACGATAACCGGAGTCCTTCATTCCCACATCACCTGACAATTCCATTTGAGTTGGTTTAATTGCCATTTTTCCAGAAAACAAGAAAGAAAAAAAGCGCAAGAAGAAGTACTGCTGTTTTGGTTCTAGTACTACTAGTACTGATTGCATAACTCTGAGCTGAAACGGTTATTTGACCTTTCGTGCACCTTAAAAAACAAAGTTTTTATTAAAAAAGATTATATTAAAAAAGATTATATTAAAAAAGTCTGCTATCAAGTTAGGTATGCTCTTTTATGTACAGATTACTTTAGTTATGTAAATACCTCCAAATTTCAAGCTCCGATCACATACAAAAACTGATCTAACTGCTTTAACATCTTGGGACCCGTTAGTAGAACTTTTTGTTGCTCGTTTTTACTCGCATAAATATTTAAATTTTCCCTTAATTTTCTAACTTTCTATTTAAAACTAATATACTACAGTTATGTATACAATCTTATATGTACACATGAATTTCGTAATATAAATACCTCAACCATTTTAGGCTATCTCAAGAAAACTCTGTTGTTATCGTTTAATGTCCTCGGGATCCCAGCAGGAGTAGGCTTCTGTCGCTTGTTTTCATTCCTATAAATACTTATTTTCCAGGCGCACAAAGTCTATCCAATTAGACCTTGTTCTACTTTGACCGCACGAAATTTCGAGACAATATGGCGGCTGATTAGTTAATCAACCAATAAGAAAATTGGACTCATCTATTGACCAATCAAAAACAAGCTCAAGTCGAAAAAAATCGATGAAGTCGTAAAAAATATTCCCGACAAACAGGAATATRCTGGATTTCAAAGTCCGGACAAGGTGCGCAAAAGGGACTGAAAAGAGAAAATGAAAAAAATGAAAGACCATGAAAGACCATGAAATCCTCTCACAGAGAACTTTAAGGAACTCGTATTAGGGGGATAGGGGAGAGAGGTGGTCAGATCAGGACAACCTCGGTGCCATGCCTTACCCGAAACGGAAGAATTAGGGCCTGGAACGAGATTAGGATCCTGAAGAGGTTCAGCCATGCTAAGTTTCTTATAGATTGCCGCGTATGCACAAGATGATTTAATTATGCAAGAGGGATTCTAATTAGAGTACTTTGATATCAACTTTTTCAAAGTCCAAGAATTTTGAAAAAAAAGTACAGAAGAACCGTTGGACTTTGAAGCTAAGTATCGTTGGAAGCACGACAAAGCCGAGTGTCGGCGAAATGCACGCGGCAAGCCGCGATCGTCGTTTCTAAAAATAGATTCACTGCATCGTTCCAACTGCTGGGCCATCTAAAAGGCTTCGTCAATGAGCTAAATAAACTGTTCTTGTTTATTTTATAGAACTATAGCTATGTCAGTTCTTTTTAATAATTTTAGAAAATTAAGTATAATTATTATTCGCAATGTCCTGAAGTACTGAGGTCGGCTTGGATTAGCCTTACAAGTTTTTGACTGCATGTGACTGGGGCGAATGTACAATGCGAAAATGGGATCGTACGTCCCGTTCTGTTAATCCCAATGTAATGAGCTTACTATAACATTTTATACAAACTGCAAGGTTGGTTAACCGATTTCTTATTTCGTATGGTCATTCATCAAAAGGCTTTTAATTTAATTAGTAATGGTTTATTTTTACTTCTTGCTGTTAGAAAAAAACTGAGTAAACAGTAAGATTTACATAAATGATCGTGAGTTATAAGAAAACTATAATATATGGTAAATTTCATAAAAAGATCATAAGAAAACTRTAATAAATATTTACTATTTACAACTTAGACTACTAAATAGTGTTCATTGATATTTAAATGTAAAAATGTCATTTGGTCTCTTAGTTCTTTTCATTATTCTTGTATTGGTATTTCCAGAGTAAGTATGGAAACTACTAAGGTAAACTAGTGTGATCTGCGTCGTTGTTTTTAAAGAAACATCTGTTAAATACGTCATAAAATGTACGAGAAGTACGAAGTCTACATTTAGTAGTTCATTTCTAATTTTAGTACAACATTTAGAGCGATTTTAGGCATTTAAACAGCACGATTTCATAACATGCGATCTTGATCTCATGCAGCAAGTTAATCGTTACTTTTCGAACAAGGTCAACAGACTGTACTTCGTACCCAGAAGTATGTTTCCTGGAGTGTGAAACGAGCGACGGAAGATTCTTATGGGAAAAGCTAAAGCGCACAGAACGATGCTTGTCCAAAAATAATCATTTAAGTCGTTTGAAGTTCATCCCTGGCGCAAATGATGTTCGTGAGAGCATCCGATATTTTTTTATATTTTTCGAACCAAACTAGCCTGATTTTCAGACGGGCCTGGGTCCGATGCTAACGCTTTCCTCCTCTTCGGAGAAAAGCGTTGAGCGTCGAACCCAGGCCCGTCTAAAAATCAGGCTAAACCCAAATGAAAAGAAAAAAAACACACAGATAAAAAGAATTAAAAGTAAAAAACGTGCCAATCCAATGAACACCGATAAGCTTTGAAAATTGTTACTGAAAAAACATTAGAGCTTTGACATTTTCTCGAAAAACCGGAAACTTCTACCTTGGAATCTGGAGAACGGGAGATAGAGGTTAAAATTATATAGCCACATATTAATCCCAAATAGGTAAAAGCTGGATTTTTCGTTAATTTTGGAATCCTGTCCAATTAAGAAATTAATTGGACAGGTTTTCAATTGGGTTTTTGTTAAAAGCTGTGGTTGGCTTTTACCTATTTGGGATCAATATGTGGCTATATAATTAATAGGTAATAAGACTCCATGCTGTCTAATTAAGAAATAATTAGACTCGAAAAATTCCTCTGACTGCCAAATTGGACTCGGCCACGGCCTCGTCCCGGCAATTTTTGGCAGTCATCGGAATTTTCCTCGTCCAATTATTTCTTAATTGGACAGCATGGAGTCCTATTACATATAAAAATCTTCAGGCTCCCGGATTAGCATAAACTGTGCAGCTAAGTTATAGACCTCATGCTGCTCGGTATCACAATAACAGGAAATGGAGCGTTAAATTTATAAATTATTTTTACTTTATGTTATAACAGCACGACTGATAGGCGGACCAAGCAACAGTATTAAAGTGAACTATCGAAGAAATGTATATTACAAAATACAAGTTTTTCTTGTTGAAATTAGAAAGCCTTCTAAGAAAAGAGTCAGCGAATCGGCTTTTGTAATATTTACTATGCAATGCTTASTTAGATACGGTAATCCCTTTTTTAATTTATGCAGAAAAATAACCCAAGCCTTACTTAAAATATATAAAAGTRCACTGTATATATTGTATAATTTTTCATCATTTGCCTCCGTTTCATAKTCCTGGACGAATGGTTATCGATCCTGATGACGGCCTGTCAGTCAATAACTATTAAATGATATACTAAACTGAGTCTAAACTCTGACCTCTTAATAGACAGACAAGTTGAACTGAAAGTGAGCCTATTGACTTTAATTCTAGGCAATTTATTATTTATTTTGTTTGCTGTCTTACCTTTTCATTGCAATTTAAGTCATCATCGATAGTAAATGCGTTTCGTAGTTCTTGTGTGACTTCTTCTCTTTCTGTCGCCATACTTAAAAATATAGACAAACACTATTATCGCTTTGCTAACCATGCGCTCAAAATCGCGCGGAAATCGGAAGTTGCGGCTTTGAGAGAGACTAGCACTATTATTGTACACCGGGATGAAGAAGACTTTYGAGACTTTATCAATTGATTAATTAAGTTTTTTTTGTCTAATTATTATTATTCTCGTTATTATCATTATTTTGTTTTTGTTGTGGTTGTTGTTGCTGTTGATATGCTTTATGTTTTTGAATTTTTTTTGTCAAAAGACTGAAAAGAAAAACGAATCTTTGTTGTGTTTTTTCTTAGTTGTGTTTGTTTTTTAAGTTTCTGATCGACAAAGTCCAATATATGTTATAAGAAAAAAAGTTCCATCACCGACAATTACCTAATCAAGCAATGTAATTCCAAGGTCAACAATTACAAACTCATTAATTCACTGAGTAAAAAACAATATAAACCTCCTACATACATCCCTTTATTTTGTCTTGTATTTTGATTGGCTAATTTTCCCCCGTTTCTGATTGGTTAAGATCACGTAAAGCGGGAAGCATTACTCGCTTAATATAACCGGTAAATATGACACTCCAAATAATGATTTTGACCAAATACTTAGCGGGGTAATTCAATACGGCAGCCACTAACTTCGCGGGTTCCGGCTGGTCTTGTCTGTGGTAAACGCGCAAGTGCGCGTGGCGCTTGCGGTTAGCTACGTTTAAATTAGATATATAAAAAAAATGTTTAATTGCCTTTTTATCACTATTGATTTTTTATGACAATTTAACATGTAATGATAATGAAATAATGTTGAGAATGACTGATCAARTCAATGTTATGTATTATGCGAAGTATGAAACGAATCTGTCTGACGACGCTTGACTGTTGCAACTCATTGAAATAAATCGAAGAAATCACTTTAGGAATTCACACAAGCAAAAAAATGAATGGAACAAAGAAACAAAATTTAAAGGTAAGAGGTGGTAAGAGGGGGCTGGTAAGAGGTGTACACGAGGCCTCCTCTTCCAATTTTGATAAGAGTTGACTGGGCACTAGCAACAGTTCGCGCCATTTATAATCAAGATGGCGGATATTCCGAGCATCAGGAAGCTAGACGAAGCTGTCATAAACCGTATAGCGGCTGGAGAAGTCATTCAAAGACCTGCAAATGCYCTAAAAGAAATGATAGAAAACAGTCTTGACGCCAAATCTACTTCAATAACCGTCACAGTTAAATCTGGAGGCCTAAAACTGCTTCAAATCCAGGACAATGGCTGCGGAATCCGCAAGGACGACATGACCATTGTTTGCGAGCGTTTTACAACTAGCAAGTTATCTAAGTTTGAAGATTTAACGAGTATTTCTACGTACGGATTTCGTGGAGAGGCTTTGGCTAGTATAAGCCACGTAGCTCATGTTACTATCACCACAAAGACAGCATCTTCGAATTGCGCTTATAAGGCCTGTTATTCGGACGGGAAGCTTGTACCYCCCCGACCAGGGATGACAGCTGATCCAAAGCCTTGCGCTGGTAACAGAGGTACGCAGATWGCAGTGGAGGATTTRTTTTATAAYGTTGCAACGAGACGAAAAGCATTAAAAAGCCCTGGTGAAGAGTTCAGTAAAATTGCTGATGTTGTAAGCAAGTACGCCATTCATAACACAGGAGTTGCATTCACTTTGAAAAAACAGGGGGATAGTAAAGCTGACGTTCGTACAACAAACACAGCCTCAATACAGGATAATATACGCACAATATATGGGCCTGCTATTGCCAAGGAACTTTTAGAAGTTGAATGCAACAATCAGAAATTTGGTTTCATCATGAAAGGTTGYATTACAAATGCAAATTACTCTGTCAAAAAGACCCAATTTCTTCTGTTTATCAACCACCGACTTGTTGACTCTACAGCTCTGCGTAAATCTCTAGAGACTGTATATGARGCATATCTCCCCAAAGGAATGCACCCATTTATTTACATGAGTCTTGAAATAGCRCCTGCAAATGTTGACGTAAATGTCCACCCCACAAAGCATGAAGTTCACTTTCTTCATGAAGAATCTATCATTGAAGCCATACAAAAGGCTGTGGAGGAGAAACTATTGGGCTGTAATAGTTCACGTACATACTAYACTCAGGCTCTTCTACCGGGTGCACCAGAACCCATTGATAGTGTTATGAAAGGTAAAACAGGGTCAGTACTTAATTAGAGCAGATTTCGTATGAGTGGGAAACGGACGGTACTGTACTGTTACCATAATCGTACTGTAACCACATTCTAGTGCCCCATTGGTTCACAAATTGTGCAGGCCAGGTCCGGTAACTGTGCGGTAACCGTGCGGTAACGGTGTCCCACTCATACAAAATCCGCTCTAAAAAGCCATCAGGTTGCAAAAAGGTGTTATCATCAYAGATAGTACCAAAGGGAGGTTTAAGTTTAAATTCAAATCATACTTGCCTAAATATGCTATATTTTAGCATAATTCTAAAAAGAAGGTCATTTTATTCAGGACTGACAATCCTTTGACTCGATTAATGATATAGAAAGAAAGTAAAGTTATGTAATAGTGCTTAAAAAGAGGTTATTCCAGGAGAAATTTTCCGATTTTTTTTTGCAAGGGTCTTTCTCCCAGAATAATCTCCTTCTACTATACATATAAACACTATAATTTCTTTCTGAACCATGTATCTCATACTGTAGCACCATGCAGTCCTCATATTCATATCTTTGACTCTTAAACACTGTTATACTCAAAATATTTGCTTTCACATGYTTCCTGGGACATTCTTAAAAACATTTGAAATGTGTCAGGTTTCTTTTTAGTTCGACCTGTTAAGTCACTTGTCATTTGTTCATATTGCTTAGAATCAAATCATGATAATTCAACATCCAGTGACAGTGGCAGCAAGATCTATGCCCATAAGATGGTCCGCACAGACAACAGAGAACAAACSCTACATGCTTTTATTCCACCAAAACATTTACTCAGGTTTGTCGCATTAATACCAAATAGTTACAGCAGAATGTACTAATAGTGACTTGCAAATTACATTGTATATAAACCTCAATAGTGAAGAGCCTGAACCAATTCCAAAGCCCACTTCAGATGTCCAGGACATTGAGATGAAAGAAAGTAAATCAAATGAATCTGCTGCATGTTCATCAAGAGCAGATCAAGACTCTTCTGCATTAGCACCAGGTACAAAAATTAATGTAAGGGGTATAGAATGGTGTCTCAGAAATTGCAAGGCTCGCCAAAAATTGCCCAAGACTCGTAAGCTCTGCACTCGGGGCTTTGATTTAAAATTGCTTTTGGCTCGGAAGCTTGCAATTGCCAAAATATCAGACTCGTTTAGCCAAAGGCACGGGCTTGGATTTTAAAACGAGGAGCTTGCTGGCTCGCAGAGGCTCGGGTTTTACCATTCGATACCCCTAATTTAGATTATGTCATGAACTTTTCAATTTCTTGATGGGAGGGAGGGGGTAGGAGGGGATAGATACAATGTAGCAGATGGGAGACAGGGTGCACTGATGAAGGCAGGATGGGGTAAGACATTTTTAAGAAGACTGACATTCTAATGGCCCTGTTCTGAATGGGAAGGGGAATGGCACTAGATGTAGGAAATGGTTCCTCTTTGTTGTGTGTTGTGTTTTTTTTAAAGACATATTTGGATGCATATCTTAAATTAAATGATACAAAAAGACAATTTATCATTTGGTTTTAAAGCAATGAATAAAATTTCCATATAGCAAATTCACATTAATTAACTACGAAATGTTACTGTATTAGTTATAATTACACAATTACAAAATAAGCACTAACTACACATTAATGAAAAACAATCAAATAAGTAATTGAAATTGTAACTGTATATGCAGCAGTAAATTATTTATGTTTTTTGTTTAGAGCTCGGACCCTAGTTTTTTATTAGTGACCTCTCATTTCTAAATACAAGTCTTTGTAAGAAAAGCATGTTCTTTTACCATTGGTTATTGCATAAGATAGATTATAKTCAGTACAGATGAGCAACAAATACAATCATGTAACTGGCTAGTTCTAGCACTTACAAAATGTAGTTTCAAGCTTCTTATATTCCAAGATAAACTCAAAATGTAAGCAGTAGGTTAAGAAGGTGAGCTTAATTTACTATTCTACATTGTTTAGACCTAATTACAAAACCCTTTTCATAGATAAAAAGAAAATTTGTTCACTTATAAAAAGGAATACATAAAAAGACAACAGAAAGTGTTCAACTTGAGCGAYCTTTTGTCTTTTTGACAAATTCACTTTTAAGTTGAAATGTTCTATTTTTTTCTATGACAACAGCTTTGTAATTAAGTATATATCTTTGTAATTTCAGAGAGTAAAAAGCCAAAATTGGACGGCAAACCAAAAGCAAAAACCACAGCCAAGAAAACTAGGAGAGACATCCAGCTCATCAGCATTAACAATCTACGCCAAAYAATAGACAAAGCAGAACATCAAGGACTGAAAGAACTACTTGAAGACCACAAGTTTGTTGGATGTGTTAACAACTCCCTAGTACTTTTACAGCACAACACCAAACTTTACTTATCCAACATCAATATACTTAGCAGAGAGCTATTCTACCAGATAATCATGTTTAGATTTGGTGATTTTGGATTCTTAAAGCTGTCYGAAGCAGCACCAATTTATGAGCTAGCAATGATGGCTTTGGAGAGCAGTGAAAGTGGCTGGTCGGAGGATGACGGCCCTAAGGAGGACCTTGCAAGTTATATCACAGATTTTTTGAAGAAGAAAGCAGAAATGTTGCTGGATTATTTCTCTATTGAGATYGATGAAGATGGTAATCTTTGCTCACTGCCATTGCTGGTTGATAACTATGTTCCAAACTTCTTGGGGCTTCCAATGTTTATATTAAGGATGGCTACTGAGGTGAGTGTAAAATTTAGTCTTGCATGTTGAAGCTAGTGTACGTTTTTCATCCCTTTATTCCAACCTTAATGATATAATATTAATATTAAAAAATCATTATACAAAGCAAAAAAAAAGCATGATACAAAGTCTCCATGCTTTACAATCATTAGTTAAAAAGTCATTTACAAAGCAAATTATTTACAAATTTTATGGACTTTTTTGTCACTGTAGGTTGAGTGGGATACAGAACAAGAATGCTTTGACAGTGTCGCAAGAGAAATCAGTCTCCTTTATGCCTTTAAACCAGAACCTACCATAAACAAAGCAATTCATTGTAATACTGAGGACAAATCTGATAAAGGCGATGTAACATGGCAATGGGTTGCAGAACATGTAATAATGCCAGCTTTAAGAGCAGGGCTTGTGCCGCCTGCTAGGTTTGCTGAAGATGGAACTCTTCTACAAATTGCAAACTTAACTGAGTTATACAAAGTCTTTGAAAGGTGTTAGACACAACGTTCATTATGTAAAGTCAAAGAAATTTGATATTGAATAAAAGAGGTATAACATACAATTCCAAGAGTTGTGAATTTTATTAGAAGCTTAATTTAAATAAAAAGTTGAAGTGTGAAAAAAAAATAAAAGAAATAGTGTGAAAAAATAWATAGAAAATGGGAACAAGAATTAGTTTTATTTATTTATTTTTATTTTATTAGCTTTGCCCWGAAGGACTGACACAAAATCATTCTCCATCAAGGAATCGATTATTTAAAAGAACCAAAGTCGAATTGCGGTATTCCTGTGTAGCTCATTTTGGTKAGTGGTTTCCCTGTGTTGCTTATACGGTTGTGGACTGGGGAACAGTTTCTTCACAACGTGTACTTTTCGTCCCGATTTTTGTGCGAAGTCTATTTTCTGTACTTTCTTTTGTATCGATTCTGATAAAATTAGTCAATAGTCATGGGTATACTAGAGAAAATCAGTGAAATTGAGAAAGAGATCGCCCGAACACAAAAGAACAAGGCGACAGAGTATCATCTTGGGCTGCTGAAAGCAAAATTAGCGAAGTACCGAGCTCAACTGCTCGAACCACCCAAAGGCGCTGGAGCAAAAGGCGAAGGTTTTGATGTAATGAAATCTGGAGATGCKAGAGTTGCCTTAATTGGTTTTCCCTCAGTTGGAAAATCCACCTTGCTGAACAAGATGACGAATACACAAAGCACTAGCGCTTCGTACGAGTTCACAACACTAACATGCATTCCTGGTGTGATAGACTACAATGGCGCTAACATTCAACTCCTTGATTTACCTGGAATTATCGAGGGCGCTTCACAAGGAAAAGGYCGTGGTAGACAAGTAATTGCCGTGGCCCGTACAGCAGATCTTGTGATCATAATGCTTGATTCCTCCAAAGGCGAAGTCCAAAGGGGTCTCTTAGAAAAGGAGTTGGAAACTTGTGGAATACGCTTGAACACCAAGAAACCAGAAATTTACTTCAAGATCAAAAAAGCAGGGGGGGTWAAGTTCAACTCCACATGCAAGCTAACTCATGTTGATGAAAAAATGGTTCAGATGATATTGCACGAGTATAAGATATTCCATGCCGAGGTGTTATTTAGAGATGATTATACTTCGGACGAACTGATTGATGTCATTAGTGGAAACAGGGTATACCTCCCKTGCTTGTATGTGTACAACAAGATTGATTGTATTTCTCTAGAAGAGGTTGACCGTCTGGCTAGGCTGCCCGATTCCATAGTCATTAGCTGYGAATATAAGCTAAATTTGGACTACCTCCTTGAAGAAATCTGGGAATACCTAGCTTTAATACGWATTTACACCAAGAAAAGAGGAGAGCCTCCRGATTTTGCWGGGGGTCTTATTTTACGTCGTGGGTGTACCGTGGAACATGTTTGTCATAGAGTCCATAGAACACTAGTCGATGCCTTTAAATATGCCCTTGTTTGGGGTACCAGTACCAAGTATAGCCCACAGAGGGTTGGAATCAACCATGTTATGAATGACGATGATGTTATACAAATTATGAAGAAATGAGCTCACTAATTCCTGGTCAATAATTCATRATATAAATGAGTGCCTTACATTTATAACTGGATTATACTGACTATGAAGTATTATAAATCTTACCGAAAGATGACAATGTTGCATATATTATGAAAAAAAGGAACTTGGCAATGAACACCTGCCATATACTTGTAATTGCAGAAATAGACCATGTCTAGAACATGCAGTTAAGAATCTAATGAAAGATAACAATTTTGTACAAATTATGAAGATCAGCTCATAAAAAATTCCTGGTCAATAATTCTTGGGATGGTATAATTTGGTTCAATACGGTATAATTCCTGGTTAATGGTGTCTTTTCAAGAGTATGCAGTATTTACGGGTGATTTGTTTRTGATACTAACTATACTGAATCTTTGTATGATTTAATCAAGACAATTTATTACCCACAAATGAGGTATTGAAAGCCAAAAACATATTCCTGCTTAGCACCCCAGGTGTAATTATATTATCATTTTGGCATCATTTTTTGACATCCATATGAAATCCTTTCTAATCAGACATGGTGCCAGTATTCAATGATACATAAATCAGCTCAAAAAATCCTTCCTCTTCATGATTTTATTGGCCTTTTCAAGAATAGCTTTACATTGTGTAATGTTAAATAATTTTTGATTTTTCAAGCAGCTGATAACAATTTTTCTTTTCTTTGCCCCATAAGACTATGTACTAGTAAATTATGTTTATTATCATAGCAAATAGCTTGAAGTGCAGTCATGTCAAAAAGAAATTGATTGATGTCAACTATATCATCAAAATTGGATTCTTTTTGCAAGCACTTCACTTCATTGTAATTGTAGTTCAACCATAATGTCATATATTATTTTCTTGTTTCTATTAAAATGCTTTTGAACATAAAAATATATTTTAATTCTAAAACTATCTACATATATATATCATTATTCTAAACTCTCTTCTGTTTGGAACTATAGGTTTTGTGAAATTCATAATATTCAACTTTTAAAGTTGTGCAGCAAATGCCAAATTAACAAGGCGTGTGCTTTCATTTTATTGTTATTTGTGTATATTAAATTTTGATAGAATGCAAATGTTGTATCATTGAAATCGTGCAAGACTAGCAGAAAAAACTATGAATACACCTTTTCATTTGCTCTTAGGCCTCGACAACACGTTAAATATTCTTTTGAATTTGTAGGAATGTGAGCAATGCACACATTGATATGAAGAGTCTCAATTAGCAAATTCAAAATAATAATTAACTTGTTATCAAGGCCTAAGAGCAACTGAAAAGGTGTATTGAGTTAAAACATTGAGTGCATGAAGCAAAATATAATACTAATACTTGTATGATTAGTGAAAAAGGTACAAAATGATTTTCAAATGAGAAAAAATTGTGCTTGACTTATTATYAGTACTTGTACATATCTTATTTCATTTCTAAAGCTACTTTTCAATTGAGTACAGCATATGCATTCTGTATATGTCTTGACTTTGAAATAACTTCTCAAAAGCAATTTCTGACAAGTCGTACCTGAGGAAATGGAAAGATTTTCTTTCCTTTCATAGATGATCGTTCAAAAGTTTTGTCTCTCCAACCTATGATTGAACTTGTCAGCAAATAAAATATGTGAATCACCAACATTTGTGATTTC